GCCGAGTGCTGGGATTAAAGGTCTACATCACCACTGCCTGACTAAAAACTTCTTAATAGTGCATTTGACATACAACAAATGCTACTCTCCTCCTATCTTTGTTTTTATTTGGGTCCAAACTGACTTTACTTGTAATTATACTCTTGTGAATTTTCATAGCAATTCAGGATCGATGAGTTTCTTCTTTCATGGCTATGGTTATCACTTCTTTCCCTCCAGAAAATTTGCCTACCTGATTATCCTAGACTCATCCTTATCTGATTCTAGGAGAAGCTACTAGCCTTGCTGGCCATGAGACAATACTTACCACAGGCCTAAAATGTAATGCTTGGCCCGTGGAAGAAATGAACTATAAACTGAAGTGGCCAAAGGAAGCTGTACCTGTGTTGTTAGAACTCTGAATGGTGTCAGTGAGTTTGGGGAGTTAGAATGTTACAAGTCCAAAGCCAGATTATCGAGTTATCTAAGTCCATTTAGCGGACAATCTCGTATCATCCCCCATATGTGACTTAAAATTCTTGTGATGGGAACTCCACTCTGCTCCATGGGACATCGACAACAACTCTACTAAAACCCATCTTGATTTTCTGATGTCTTTTCCACTGCCTCTCCTAACTTACCTTAAATAAAAACACATCCTTCAGGGTGCCTGTTGTCATGAATTCTTCTATTTACTTCATCCCTGCATCTTAATAAATTCAATTGTCAGTGAATAAATGAATTGTAAAACTCTTCATGGACTTCCTGTCCCCACCTGTAAATATTTCTTAAACTAACATTTTGATTCATCTATCTGTATGTCTCTTGTAGTCTGTCTGATAACTCAATTTACTTAAACTATTGTTTAACACACTACATGGACAATGTCTTCCTGATACAGACTCTGGATGCCAGCCTCTGCTGCAGAGACCTACATCTAGTAGCACCCTCTGATACAAGGAGGCCTCACCCCATCCTACCATGCTTCAGTTAAGCCCAAAAGCCAGCAACTCAGATTTCATCCCCTATATCTCCTCCTTGACTTTCCGTTCCTATAAAATCATGCCTATATCCCCCTCTGTGTGTGAGTGAATCTCTCTCTCTCTCTCTCTCTCTCTCTCTCTCTCTCTCTCTCTCTGTGTGTGTGTGGGGG